AATATTATATTATATATACAATATGTCGGAGATGTGTGTTTGTTGTTTATTTGGAAAAGGCGTGTTAAATCGAGTTCGTCCATTGTTTTTTTTTTTTCATCTAGCACGAAACTTTCTCCATTTGTCTTTTATTAATCTCGACTTTTTTCACTGCTTACTTACTCTATTTTTTTTTTTTTATCTTTATCTTTATCTTTATCTTTTTCGCAACATCTCCGTCATCGTGTCCTACGGGTAAAAGTTAAAAGTAAAGAGGTGGTACCCTTACTCCCCCCTTATCATCCCCCCTTCTCATCACCGAACCCTCTCTCTCTCTCTCTCTCTCTCTCTCTCTCTCTCTCTCTCTCTTTCACCTTCTTTCTGTTTCGCCCACGCATTTTCTATTGTTTGTAAGCCTTCTTTCTGCACGGATAACTACTCGACGTTACTCGTAATATCTTTCCCTTTTCTTTTCCTCTCTCTCTCTCTCTCTCTCTGTCTCTCTGTCTCTGTCTCTGTCTGTCATGTTCTCTTTCTCTTTTTACATATCTATCTCTGTTTCTCTACGTTTTATCCATTTCATCGTTATATATACCTATCTCTCTCTCTCTCTCTCTCTTTTTTCTTATTTTTTTTTCTTTCCTTCTCTCTGTCTTTTTTTTTTATCTACTTTCATATCTTTCTCCACGCTATTATCTTTCCAAGACCGTTGATTAATGCACCCGTTAGGAAGTAGGTAGTCCGTGATAAATCGTCGAAGAATAATGCGAAGAATTTTTGTTAAATAAAAAAAAAAAAAAAAAAGAAAAAATGATGGGAGAAAAGAAGGAAGGAAGGAAGGAAGGGATATATAGAAGTCATTTTATTCGAATATGTCGTCGTCGTTGTCGTCGTCGTCGTCGTCGTCGTCGTGTCGTTGTCGTACGTTGATGTTCGAACACAATTCGGACCATTTTGTTCCTGATTTCATTGTCATAAGGATTATTGACTGACTCTCTTGTTCATTAAGTTTCTCATCTCTAATCATACCGCTTTATGATCACAATCTCCACTTCCACCTACCATCATTGCCACCACCTATCATCACCACCACCTTCACCACCTTCACCACCTTTACCACCTTTACCATTGCCAGCATCACTATATTACTTTCGCTTAATTTTATGTTGTTTTTATTTTTTTAATTATTTTTTTTTAATTTTTATTTTTATTTCTGTTGCATGCATGGCAATTTTCCTTTGTTTATTATTTTTTAACGTTTCAAGTATATGTTACTAATGATATTGTTTTTGTTTTTGTTTTTTCTTCAGGGTCCGATGTCGATGCGCTCTGTAGTTAACAACGAAAATGCCTCGGTTGTGGAGAATATATTGAAGGTAAGAGACAAATCATTTTTTCAACATATATCTGTATATATATTACATTATTCTCTTCGATGGAAGTATAGTAAATTTCAAGAACCAATCAGCGGATCTTCTTTCTCTAGGGACATGAAAAGTTCTTTTTTTTTAATGATTAAAATAGGACGAGTATGTGTATACCGAGATATTAGATAACATATATTGTTTTCAAACGAGTACGTGCGTGTGTAAAATTAGATGACAAATATAATAAGATTGTTCTAATTTAGTTAAAAATCGTAAATAACGTTAAATGTAACAAAAATTATAATCTTTTCTATTATCGTCATTCTAACGTGTAAAATACAAATATAAAATATTGATTTTTTAACTTAATATCATAATTATGTTAATTACAATGTTTACCTTGTATAATATTCTGTATTATGAACATCTATAAGGATTAGTATAAAATTAATAGACATTGTAACAAATAAAATTATTCGCTTTCATAATTAATATTATTACATATTATAACATTTGTCTTTGAAGTTAGTTTCTTTCAAAGTTTATTTGTAAAATATTTTCATTGGGTTAAAATTGTAATCGAGATATAAATGAATATTATTCGGTCTCTCTTTAATAGAACAATTCCCCGAAAAGCGATATTTATTAGTATTATTCTACGTATCGCGATAAGGATAATCTCTATACATGTATACCAATGTAATACACACACACATACATATATATACACACAATGTGTATTACATTCGTACAAATGAATCTCATGAAACTCGTTCATCCGTGATCATCGTTAACCTTTCGATCCTACGTTTAATTTAGCATGCCCACAAGATCAAACGTTATTTAAATCACGAGCTTCATTTTTACTGATTCTTAATTAACAATTTACAAAGAAATGTTTTCTGATAAACGTTTATAAAATTAGTATTGTTTATAAAATACATTATCATCCATTCATAAATAAATATTCTTTCGGTCGATTGATATCTTCCACATGTGTTGATGAACGAATTCGTCAAATAATTTTATTCAAATTCATTCGAATTACAATGACGTGTACTGCCAACAACGTTTAAATAAATTCTATTGTTAATGTAAAGAGCATGATATATATATATATATATATATATATATATATATATATATATATATACAATATTAAAATTATCTTTTACAAAAGGTATATTCGCGCACGAATTCATTTTACGATTTAAATTTTACGTTAAGAAATCGATTAACTAACCGTACTGAATACTTATTAATATTAATTTTAACTCGTTGAAATTTTGTTGAGAATCAACTGGAAAAACCCTCGATTTCTTTTTTTCTTTTTCTTTTTTTTTTTCGAAGAAAAAACTTACGATAGGAAAAGATGATTATATAAATACATATATACGTTAGTACATACATACATACATACATACATACATACATACATACATACATACATATATACATACATTTTCACGATGCATTTACATGACATCGTCTGGATAACTTGGATGCGATCGATAAATTGCACACCGTGACTCAAACATACGGTATTTCAAATGAAAAGAAGAATAATATATATAAAAAGAAAAGAAATCAGAGAGAAAGAAAGAGAAAGAGAGACAGAGACAGAGAGAGAGAAAAAGATAGAGTGAGAAAGAGTGACAAGATGGCTTATAGGTGTATTAGAAACCGAGAAACATATTGTCGTTCTCGTTCAACTATATGCATAGAAAAAAAAAGAAAAAGAAGAGGAAGAGGAGGGGGAGGAGGAGGAGGAGGAGGGGG